CACCTGGGGAATTTACATGTGCATGCGTGCGCTTAGCATACCCCAAAACTCTGTAACCTCTGGACACCCTCCGCTTTGCGGCAGGCAAAAAATTCAAGCGGGCTGCTCCACAGTTTAGGTTTTCTTTCTTTCTTTCTTTCCTGTTCATTTTATTTTATCCGTTTATTGCGGTTAAGCAAAAATAATGCCTTTTTGCCTATACCCTCTACTCCCTACCCCATACTTACATATATTATGTTATGCGTGAATTCTCCAGCGGCTTTTGCGTGCATTTGGCTCTTTTTAATTCCATTTTTATATTACTTTTTATTAGCTTAATGCGTAAATTGGGCTTGTTTAAGGTCGCTTGGCTTAATTCGAAAATAAATAAAAATTCTTTTGATTTTCTATGAGATTGGTTCATCCAAAAAATTAAATAAAGAAAATAAAAACAAAAAATATATTGTAATATTATTTACACACGCATAAAAAGATATGCGGCATAGCGACATAGCTCCGCCGACATATCTCCGCCCAGTACATTTTGGAATTAGGTCGCGTTTTTTCTGGCGAAATTATGATGTTTGAAAACGACATAACCCCGCCGTTGATCATGGCGAGATTATGTCGTTTTGAAGCGACATAGCTCCGCCGCTCTAAAAACGAACAAAATTCCGCGCGGAGATATGACGTTTGAAAACGACATAACTCCGCCGTTGATCAAGGCGAGATTATGTCGTTTTAAAGCGACATAGCTCCGCCGACATATTTTCTGGCGAAATTATGACGTTTGAAAACGACATAATTCCGCCGTTGATCATGGCGAGATTATGTCGTTTTGAAGCGACATAGCTCCGTCACTCTAAAAACGACATACATATCTCCTTTTTATTTTTCTCGCACTCCATGTGCTATTTAATGCCAAAAAGAGGGTTGAAGTCCGTTTTGTACATATGCCGCCTTTGCCATCGTTTGCTCAACAAGCAGAGTGGCGCAGTGGAAGCGTGCTGGGCCCATAACCCAGAGGTCCGAGGATCGAAACCTTGCTCTGCTATAGGAAGTTACGTGCTGTAAAGTGACTTTTTTCTTTTATAAAAATTCGAGCTAATTGAAATAAAAAGGCATTTTCGACATTTGGAATTTATTTCTTGTGTTTTTATTGTATTTCATTGTTTTTGGTTGTTTGATGTTTGTTTTTCATGTTTTACTTTACTGCTAAATAACTTTAAATGTTGTATATTCTTTACCATATTCGTTCATATATCTTCAACTTTTTCTTTTCTCTTGTTCTTGTTCATGTTCTGGCTGTTTTAGTTGTTGTTGTTGTTCTTGCTATTTACGCAATTGCAACAAAATGACGCTGTTTGGTGTGCATCTCTTTATTTATCATCTTTGCTCATCTTGTTCTTTACATGTATATAATAACTAAATTTGCTTTATAATAATAAATATAATAATAGTTAATAATGATTTGTTTATTAAATATTTTTAAAAAATGTTCGTTTTAGGAGTATAATTATCATCATCATTTCTTATCATCATTCTCTTTATCATCGTTATAATCGTTGCCAAACGTTCTGTAAACGGGTTCTTTCTCTCCTTTCGCACGAGCTTCCATTTCGTTTAATGCGCTCGTTTACACAGTGTCAATTCATGATTTCGTTAGATTTGCCCAATTCGCTCATTGCATGACTGCAGCTTAAGAACTATTATTTCAATTCATCATTGTTTTGTATATATTTATAGGTAATTGTATATACTAGTTCATTAATTAATGAATATAATAATAAGTATATATGTTAAATACAAAATAATACACACGTTTAGTACGTTTGCATGTATGTTAAAATGAAAAACAAACTACAAAAATATACAATATTTGAACACACAAAACAAATGAGAGAAAAATCTATGACCAACAACAAACAACTTGTATGAATATCACAAAAACATAAAATAATAATAGTAATGTTTATAATCATAATAAAATGAAGTACATAAAACACAAAAACCTATATTGTAGAACACTTTGCAAACTTAAGAGTTAAAACAATAGATCGGGGGCTGGGTTTTGAAGAACACGCTAAGCCCATTGAAAACAATATAAAATTCGTTGATATCACCTGACAAAAATGAAAGACTACTTACAGTTAACATATACACATACACATGAGTATGGGCTACTATATAAATATGTGTATGTAATGTGGTATTTCATTTAATTAAATTAGAATTAAAAATGAATTTTTATACGCACGCTTAAGTTGTTCACACCTAGTTACTTTTTAGTTTTCTTTCATATCCTTTTTTTATTTTTTTGCTGTTGTTTTTTTTTTTTTTTGTTCTTGGGTTTGTTTTTGTATTACAATAAATTGTTTGTTTCTTTACGTTGCAACATTGATTCATTTTTTGTTCTTTACTTTTCAATAAACACATCACATCATATTCACAATTAATAATCATAATAATCTAATATAAATATATATGTATATATATATATATATATATATATATGTATATATATATGTATATATAATATGTATATATATATGTATGCATATTATGTATGTGTGTGTAAATATAAACTAAAATTAACAATAATAACTATGACTTATGCTGAAAAAGACTACACCATACATTATTACATTTAATTATTATGGTTCCGCTATTATAATTATAGTTATATAATTATAAATGTAATATTTAATTTTTTTTCGAATGCGCCATATACAAGCGTCATGTATTACATAAGTGTTAAGTGTGTGTTCAGCTGTATGTTATGTTTGTGTGTGTGTATATGTGTACGTATAGTCAAACAAATTAAAAACTAGTTTGAATTAAAATTATTCAATATATATGTGAAGTATTATTCAATCAATGCACATGATCTACGCATGATATCATCATGACATTCGCTTGATAAAACTTTAAGGCAAATAAAAGTTTCGTTTCTAGTTTACACGTTCGAGAGATTCTCGTATTCTACACGCGTGCCATACAATTACACGCAACTCACGACTCACGATTCACGACATTCGGGCTGTTCGCTTGTAAACAAAATTTGGGGCATCGCTTAAGTAAACATCATATGATACACAGAATCTATGTCCATATTGTAGTAGTATCCTTTTTTTACGTTTTCCTCTCTTAAATCTTACTAGCTAAAACTCTTAATTGTAGAACATTTACGTGTTTTCTTTTGTTTTTCTTTACACGAAACATATTCCTTTGCTATTTTGCAGCTTATTGTTTTCCTCCAATTGTTTATTACATAAGTGTTAGTAACTGTTTAAAATGTTATCGAGTTTAGTGTTGTGTAGTGTTTTAATACCTACGAATATGCATTTATTTTGTTGTAAAGTACTTATTATTCTTTTTTTTAAATTTATTTTTAACTTTTTGTTTGTTTTTTATTTTAATTTCTGTGTTTTAGTTAATAATCTTTCTCTTGTATACAACTTGGCTTTATCGTTCCACTTGTTCTTGTTGTTGTTGTTCTTGTTGTTGTTGTTGTTGTTGTCGTGGTTGCACATAGATTTAAGGTCTGCTTATAATGGACGGAAACTTATTAGGCATTTTTGTTGGAGTTGTTTTTGTTGTTTAAGGTTTCTATGGGTTTATTTCTATAAAAACGTTTGGTTAATTTGTGTTTAGGCTTAGTATTTGAAGAATAGAGTGCTTAGTGTATGAATATGTTCTAGAAGAGGGTATTCGATAAGATAATACAATATGATTGTGGACATTTTAAAGAGTTATGTCAGCAGTTACAGGGAATAAGGAACAAATCAGGGTGCGACGCAAGAAATGCTGTTTGTAAATAAGAAAAGAATTAACAAATTTCCGTATATTATAATCAGCCCTTAAATGTATATGTATATGTATTACGCTTAAAATGTTGAACGATCTTAGCTAATGTTGATTATTATTGTTATTATTATTTATGTATATTTGCGACGCTCTCATCGATAATTTGTGTTTTCTTGATTTATATCTTTAAGTGTATTGATTAATGGAACCGATTTAAAATTACATTTATTTATATTTCAGAAACTTTTCTAATATTGATTGCTACTATTCAATATATATATATTTATATTAAATGTTTTTACCTTTATCCAGTTTCTCTTGTTTTACAAATAAATTGATTTCAATTCTCATTCACTTAATATTGATTTTTCTTCCTTCTCCTTTTGTTAATGTTTCTTTTTATTGATTTCTCTTATTATTTTTTTTTTGTTTCTTTAAAAGATCACATTTCATGTTTAGTTGCCATTAGTAAATATATAAGTATATATTTATGTATGCTTGTATTATACGTGTATATACATAAATATATGGATATACATATCTTGTATATAATAAGTAGGTTTCCTTTCTTCTTTTTCTTTTTGTTGTTGTTGTTGTTGTTGTAATTATTGTAATTTTAATGTTCTGTTTAGTGTTGTGTAGTGTATTACGATTGAATTACTTATCTCGAAAAATTAAATTTACGAACTGTAAATGAAAATCAGTATGCAAAATTTGTAAAACCATTTTGTTGAATATACATATATTTATATTACCTTGAATGGCTTTTATGCTTAAAAATTTTATATAGGAAGATACAGTACGTTAGTTTTTTTTTTCCTTTTTTAATATTTTTTGTGTGTGTTTGTTTTATGAAATGTTTGCTTTTAATATTATTTTATTTTTCTAGAGATTTCAGCTAAATTAATAATACACTTTTAAAAAATTTAGTTTTCCGTGTTTCTTAATTTTCCATAATTTGTTTTTTATTTTTTTTTTTTTTTTTTAATTTTTATTTTTCCTTTCTTTTTACTTATGCAAAAAATGCTTACTGCTTAGATTTGATTATAATTTGAGTGTTGTTTTTGATGCTTCAACTGCTTCATTCTGCATTTTTCTTCGATTTCGCTTTGTGTATTGTAATTAGTATATAAAAAAATATGTTTATTACATTTTATTTGGATTTTCGTTTGTTTTTGTTTTTGCTGTAGTTGCTGATTCGCTTGTTTGTTTTATAAAATGTAAAAAAAGGAATATGGTTTTCTTTTGTATTTTTAAAAAAATCCTTTGAAATTGTTTGCCTTGCGCATTTCTTTCTCTTCATCTGCTTTTCGTTTTTGTTTGGTAGTAAATCGTTGTTGCAAAAATAGGACGTGACTGTACTTATATATTTTTTATAATTTATTTTTGTTGTTTGTTGTTGTTGTTTTTGTTGTTGTTGTTTTAACATACTCGTATTTGTTGTTGCTGCTTAATCATGGCCTATGAATGTTTACTCGTTTTGATTAATTTTGACTATTTTCAATGTAATTTGTTGTAGACTTTTCATTAGGCTTATCGACAGCTATATTATTAACACTCCTTACTAAATGTTTACTTTAATTGTTATAATAATATTTATTTATATTTTATTTGTATTTGCATTGAAATATGGAACACTAGAGTTTAAAATAGTTTGTAACTAATTTTAATGCAACTGCGCTTTTCCCATTTTGGTATAACTATTTATTTATTTTTTTTATTTATTTTTTTTATCAATTTCAATTATTTTAATTGCTAAATTTTTCTGTTTCTCATTTAACAACACTAAACATTTTTTTTTTGTAATTTTCTTTTATTTTTTTGTGGGTTTTCTAATATTGTAGAGTTGTCACTCAATGTTTTCTCTTTATGTATGTCGATTGTGTGTAAATCTGATGCTTACGTTAAAGTCTTGCTATACGTACGAAAAAGTTATGTAAATTTCTCAATATATATATTTTATATTTTTTAGTTTTATTATTTTTTTTATATTTCCTCATAATGTTTGTTGCTCTTGTAAATAGTTCATATCAACCTTTAATTTGCATCAAAATTTTATTCGATTTTATTTTACTGTGTGTTGGTGTTAATGCGTGTGTGTGTGTGTGTGTGTGTGTGTGTGTGTGTGTGTGTGTGTGTGTGTGTGTGTGCGTGTGCTTGTTTAGATGCATGATGAGGGCGCGGCTATTGTGGCCGGCGTAACGGTGATTGTGGTGGCCGGCAGAGCAGCCACTGTGGTGGCCACCACCGGATAATGATGACCCACATACGCGTGTTGCTGATGGTGTATCAGGCTGTGATGTTGCTGCTGTTGGTGCTGCTGCGGCGTCGTGTACTTGAGGACATGTTGCTGCGGCAGCGAGATGAAGGGCGCTGCCTGAATGGGTATACAGTTGGAATTGTAATCGCTGCTTAGCACCAGAGTAGGCGTGGCATCGGTATAGTAGGCAGGCGCCTTGAGAAATGCCGCTGTCGGTGCCGCAGCAGCAGCAGCAGCGTATTGTTGCTGCGGTGTGGGCATTGTTGCCGTCGATGTAGTGGACAGCGTGGTGGCCGACGATAGTGTGGGAGATGTGGCTATGGAACAGGAGGATGATGAGGAGGCCGAAGAGGGGGAGTACGGTGAGCTGCAGTGGTAAGTAATATGCTGTTGTTGTTGCTGCTGTTGCTGCTGATGATGATGTTGCTGATACATGTTGCTGGCGTGGTGTGTGGCTGCTGCTGCTGCTGCTTTATTTGTGTTGCTGTGATAGTAGTTGGTGTTGGTATGATAACTGTATTGCTGCTGCGGCTGTTGTTGTTGCTGCTGCTGCAGCTGCTGTTGCTGCTGATGCGGCTCAATGATGATCAAATTGTTGTTGCTGTTGTTATAGCCAGCAGCAACTGCTGCTGCCGTTGTTGTTGCCACCACACTGCCAGCAGCCGCCTGCTGCTCACTGGGATTGGTGATCATGGCGGCCATTATATTGGCCGGTGGCAAGACAATCGGTATATGATAGTATTTACACTGTTTACGACGGCACTGGCTATTGGCATGATCCCGACAGACAGCAACACGTTGATCAATCACCTCGACCTTGTCATCTGCGTAGAGAATGGGGCGTGAGAATAAAGAAAAGTTATCGATTAGTAGTTGGTAACAAGTGGGACATCAAGTTGTAATGGAGTTATTGATAAACAGTGAAAGCAATTATAAAAATAATTGTTTATTTCTTTTTTTTATTTTTTTATTTTATTTTCAATGCCCGCGAGCAAAAGAGATCTTGAAAGCCGCTTTCTAAGTGTAACCGAAGTCTTGGTTACTCTTCAAACTTGAGGCAAAAGTGAAGTTTATTGAATATGAAGCGAATATTCATTGGGTTTGGTGCAAATGAAAACGGACTTGAGTTGAGTTTGATCTTGAACTTGAGTCCTACAACTTCGGCTAGAAATAGTTATCCAAAAACAAAATAAATCCAATTCAGTTTGTAAAAGGTATTACAATCTTATTTGCGTGTATTTTGTGTGTGTAATTTCTTGGAAATTGATTGAACCTAAAAAAAAAAAAAAAAAACAAAACAAGAACAAAGACAACGGGAAGATCAAATTAAAATGTTGCCAATTGAGCAAAAAGAAATACAAAATAATTTAATATTTTCTCTCAACTACAAAATATAAAATGGAATTTTCTTTAAACAATCGCTAGAGGAAAAGCATTTAAAGCAACAAAACTAAATACTAGAACTAAAACTAAATGCTACAACTAAAAACTAAAGAACATAAGCACATGCACTTACCTTCAGTTAAATGAACGAATCTACAATTTAACCGACTGCACATAGATCTATTAAAATCTTGGCACACCGGGAGGGTGTCCAGTAACTATATAGATGTTTGTTTATTTGCATAAACAACATGAGAGTTATATATAGTTTGTTTTTTTTTTGTAAATTGATTTTTTTTGGGTATGGCAGGATGCAAATGTCGTAAGGAAACCAATTGACAAAATAATAATTAAATTTTTGTTTGTTGTGGTTTCAGAGTGTTTTTGATATTATTTTGGGAATTTTCGGGGTTTCGTTTGAAAAAAAGAGAAGAGCAGAAAAAGAAAAGAAAAAGAGCACAAATTAGTTATATTCTTATAATAATCATATGATACACTAAAATTGTTAATGGTTGTTAGATTTATTACGCTTGGTGTACATTTTCTTTTTTTTTTCTTTCGGTTTTTCAATGTTAGTCGCTGTTTAATAAAATAGTTAACAGGGTTTTTCATTTCATGATAAATACATTAATCGTATGTTAGACTAGTTTTTGACTTAAATAATCTTAAAATAGGCAATAGGAGAATAAATAATAATATGGCGGCGCAAATGAATTTAAAACTCTCTTAATAATATGTTTTGCGAATGAATCCTGGAAAATGGGTCGCATCTATAAAGTATGTGTTCTAAAGTTTTCGGTGTTTGGAGCGTGAAGTGTCATTAACTTTATGATAATCAAAAAGAAAAAAGAAGGTGTTTTTAAACATAAATTTGTTTGTTTTTGATTCGAAAAACTTAAATGCTAAGCTTAAAAATAAAGTTTGCCACAAAAGCTTTAAGTCGAACTTAGGGAAATCTAGAAATCAATGTGGAAATAAAACACCTTTAAAGCAGCAAGTATTGGACAACTAAAACTTAGCTTTTGAAAGAGCCAACGGTATATGGAGAAGCCAAGAAGCTTTCAAGCACAGCATAGAGATAGACAGAGAGACAGAGTGGGAGAGCGAGAAAGAGCTTTAGGTCTGTAACACTCACTTTTTGATAAGGTTTTGAACGCACGCGCCTTAGATACGAAATATATAGATATATATTTATATATATATATATATGTATATATGTATAATACAAGAAAAGATTTAGTCATTTTGATTGATTGCTTAAGTTCTAGTGGGCTGAATTATGCAGTAACAGTTACATATCCTAATAGGCGGCACTAGAAATATAAGAAAAAAGAGAAAGAGAAAGAGAGGGAGAGAACGTAATACATACGCAATGTTAATTTGTATACCATAAAAAATGACGCCTGTGTTTTATTTTTATGTTTTCGAAGAAACAGTCAAAAAATTTGTAAGGATAACACAATAAGAAACAGAAAATTATAACGTAACCAAATCATAAATTTGGCCTTGAGTAGCGCGCAAAAGCTGCTAAAGCTAACTGAACGTGAAAAGCTTTTAAGCTTAAATACAGCGATCGCCTTTAACGCGCGCGAAAGCTCAAAGCTCATTGCCAGATATGCGATGCTATTATATGAGTATTTTGAGTAAGTATATCAAAAGTGTTGCTTGGCACACAGATTTTGGGTGGAATGCAACAGGCACACAATATAAGAGTGAGCGAGAGAGATATATAGAAAGAGAGTGTGGAGAGTGGGGCGGGGAAAGTATCGTAAACGTATTCAATGTAAATAAAATTTAAATTGCTCGCCGCTCTTTACCTAATTATATAAAATGTGCCGTTCATTAGCATAGGACACTGAGTGTATAATACGCCCCGTTCCGGCTGGGCTGTGTTTGGTATCAAATAGAGAGAACATTGATTACGGATTAGCTGGGAGTCTATAAGGTACAATTATTCAGTTTTATTTGTTTAAATTTTTGTTTTTTGTTTTTTTTTTTTTTCTATTTCTCAGTTTAATGCTGCTGCTGTCTTTGGCAAATATTGACGCCAGGTGGAATGTGTGAGGTGTGTGTGTATGAGTGTGAGCGTGTGTGTGTCTGTGTGTGTGAGTGTGGGCGTGTCCCTGTGTGCGTATTGGGTCAGACATTTGTGCAAACAGCTGCTAACAGCTCTGACACTCAAAGGTGTGTCCATGTCAGGGCGCTGACATCATCGCTGACAATGTTGGCAACGCCTTCAAAATGGCCGTCGACACTTGTTCATCCTTGTCGTTGTTGTTGTAATCATAGTTGTTGCTCTTGCTCTTGCTGTTGACGTTGTTGTTGTTGTTGTTGTTGTTGTTGTTGTCGTCGTTATGGTCTGACGCTGCCGTCGTTGTCACTAGGGGCGCGGCAGCGCATTTAATTTGATTAACCCAATTCACGCAGGGAGTGTTGAAATGTGTGCCACTGTAGCTGCATACCCTTCCCGCATACAGGGTACTACAGCTGTGACACGTTGTTTGCTCAGCAGGCGCGGTAATGCTTCTTTATTTTGACAGAACCAAGTCTTTATATATAAATTAATTGCTTAGTTTTTATAAATGGTTTTCAATGAAAAACTCTTTCGATTGAGGTTCTTTTTAAAGCGGCTCTACACTCTAAGATCGGACTATAATATTGTGTGGGGTATTTTCAGCGAAGGGTATTTGAATTTCGGCTAGCCGAATAATGTTTTAAAATTTTCTTATTTGATATGAAAAACAGTAATCGTCATTTTAGAATGAAATTTGACACTTGAGACTAGATAATTATATACTTGCTGCTCTAATTGCGTTTTATTTCTATATGATTATAAACATAAAATACAATTTATCACTAATCTTGTCTTGAATGGTGTTGGGTGTTTGTTTTTGTTGCCTTTTGAAACAGAACTTAGAACTAAATAAAAATTTGAAATGTTAATCGTAAAATGTAAGCGCAAGGTACGCTAACATGCAAAAGATATTGTATTAACAACTGCTTAGCATGCTGCTAACAGACTGTTAGACTGTTAGCTTCGCAAGCATTCACCAAGGGCAGAGACTGTACCTGTCCGCTGGCATCGGTGTAGATAACACAGGAAGCATTAAGAGGTGGCATTTTAGTGTTTGCTATAATTATCGATAATCACAAGCCGGCAAAACATGCAATTTGCATTTTGGTTGAAAGGTGTTAAATTATATTTAAATATATACGAGATGTGTGAGGTGAGTGGTAGAAGAATAGATATAAATGTGTGAACAAAATTGTTGCATTGTTTTATTGTTTGTTGTTGTGGTTTGATTTTGCGGTTTGATCAAAGTTGGAATCCATGCAGCGTTTGGCAAGTGTGTGTTTGTGTGTGTACATTTGGTATCATTATTTGGTTGCATTTTGCCATTTAAGTCCCAATCCGTGCGAGTTTTTTTTTGTTGGTATTTTTCATTCGTTGAAAACATAAAATTTGGTTGCATGCAAATTGAAGAGTATTTTATTGTTTGTTTATTATTTGAACGCATTTGTGTTAGCATGTAAATGGAAAAAATATGAAATTAGTAGAAACAATATGAGTACATACGTATGTAAATAGAGGATTGCTGATAAATAAAATTTTAATTATTTTGCTTTTAACATTAAATGGCAGAGGCTTAAATTAAGCTTAAGCTGCATTTGCGATGCAACAAAAGTTCGTCTGAAAGTGGGCGATTTATTCTTGCAAGTGCATCTTTTCCATCTCTACGTTATTAACATTTTATTGAAAGTCCTGGTTATTATCAACATTTGTTAAATCATCTGCAAAGCCTATAATTCGTAAAATTGTAATCTGTGTAATGAACTGAAATTTAAGCTGTTGTTTCTCCCAAAACTATATTTTACGCTTACCTTCAGCTAACCTTTAATTGAACTCTCAACTGCGCCATAATTACGTTTGAAATTCATTTTATGCAAATTTAACAGACGCCCATACCAAAATACAAAAACACAAAAAAAAGGGAAACTCTGAACCACACAAAAACACGAGTTAATAAATGTAAATTTATGACACGCCTTTCCTGTTCGTCCATTTGTGTGCTGCAATTACGCTTCGGTTTTTTATGTTCTACTCATTACAGTTCTTGTTGCAGTAACTTGTTGCTTGTGCCACACACAAAAAGTTGTGCCACAAGTTTTTGCTGAACCAGAATTTTGTTGCATGGCATATGCAAATGGCAAAACGCACTTAAAGCTAGAATAAATTAGTATAATGACTATTTAACTATTTAAGCATAATATTCAGGTGTCTATTGATAGGAGCCTGTAAGCTGTAAGCGAATTAGTAAAAGTGTTGCATACATGTTGGGCGCGTCTATGTAAAAGCCATGTTAACTGTTAGCAGAAGCTGTAAAATAAAGTGTAATAATAAACAGCAAGTCATTTTTTAGAAAATAAATTTGAACGAAAAGCACGCGTAAAAGCCATGAAAGCAAAAAGAGCAGCAACTGAAATAAGAAAAAAATGGCATCAAAAAATCATGTAAATTATGGCAGGGGGAAAAATATATATAAATAAAAATTATAAATCAGCACACGGCAGAAAAAATTGTTTTTTGAAGCGCATTTTAAATTTGTTACTGGCGCAGCAGCTGTAATTAAAAAACAAACAGTCAATTTAAATACATATATAGTTATATATTATATTATTATATCTAAACATAGGCAGTTAGTTTAGCAAGCGCTCTAGGCAAATATCAGACAAGACACGCACACATAAACAAAAGTCAATAAATAAATAATAAAAAAAAAACTTAAACAATGCGAATACTTACTACATTAAGTACATACAAACAAGCCTGCAAAAGTCGATGAAATATAAGTACAGATATATATCACATATAGCTTAGTATAGTTATATTACCACGCTGACTGGCTTGTGTATGCAAGCGAGTGTGTGTGTGTGTGTGTGTGTGGGTGTGTGTGTGTGCTGAAAAGTAGGCTACAATTTTCGTTTACTTAATATCCAGAACAAGTCAGAATTGAAGCAACAGTTAAAACGCATCTGATGTGCAGCTCAGTTGTGTGTATGTATGTGTGGGTGTGTGTATGCATGTGTATCTGTATAATTTAGTTCTTAAAGCAGTTAACGTTTAACGGTGTCTGCAAGCGTTGAATTTTCATTAGCTACATTCGAATATGACAGCTAAATAGCTCTGAATGTTGTTGTTGTTGTTGTGGTTGTTGTTGCATGTATTTGTTTTGTGGTTAACATATGTTGTTTCATTGTAATCAGCATACGGTCATACATAATACTTGTGTAATCCATGTAAAAAGAAAAGGAGTCATGTTAATAACATTGCTTGCAAAAGGTGTACCACATCATTTTATCATAGATAACAGCTAAAGAGAGCAGAGAGTAAAAGCATATGTTTTTCTTTTTTTTTTGTAATTAAGTTGCCGTTATTTTAGAAATAAACGTGACTTTTGCCTATAAACTTTATTTGAAATCTAAGTATTTATATTATTGAGACGTTAACAATGTGAGATAATTAAGGTTTTAAAATATTTCAATATTCAAGTAGCAAAAGTATTTGTTATTTGGATAAATTCATTTCAAATGCGGGGTATCATAAATGTTAAATTTTAATTCATTTTAACATGAATGCGAAAATTACCCATTGATATTAAACAGTTCTTAAAGCTTTAAAAAGGAAGCTGTATAGCGTACTTAGTTGCATATATCTCTCTGATTTCTTTAGCAATTTCGCATAAATAACTAAAAATAACACTACAATCGAAAAAAAATAATATATTCATACTTAGCGGCTAGTTAACATAGTTACTAAATTCAAATATGTTTGAATAATAATATGGAATAATACGTACGAGTACGAGTAAAACAAAAGCTCATTGGGCAGTGCACCAGCTTACCTTAGAAGTGCGTTTTAGCTTATACGAGTATTGTAGCTCATTTACCATCATACCACATGCCTGAGAAGCCAAATACGAGTATAGTAAATAAACGTAATGTATTTAGCGGGTACTTCGCAATTTCAATCACAGTTAGCATGAAAGTGACAGCCACTTGCAACACAGGACTTGCAACTTCAAATGTTGGCGTAGGTTTTTTTGGATTTTCTTTAATACTTCTTAGTTTCTCATTATTTTTTATATATATTTTTTGATTTTTAATTTTGTACTTGCTACGAAAGTTCTTGTTTCATTGAGCACATGCTGAAAAATTACAATACGATACGCTCCAAAAGGAATATACGAAATGATAAGAGAACAGAAAAACGAATTCAACGAACATGAGATACGTAACATGTAGAAGAGAAACGTACTTCCCACTATGTAAAGGGGATATAAAAACAACCTGTACGAGTGTTACGTGTACAAGTAGCCAATGGTAACATCAAAACAGAGGGAGAGACAGAGATAGAGAAAGAGGCAGACACAGAAAGAGAGATAGAGAGAGAGAGAGAGAGAGAGAGAGAGAGAGAGAGAGAGAGTAAGAGAGATCAAGAGTGAAAGAGATACACAATTGAATGGGACATTGAAAAGATTACTGCATTGTTTTGTGTTGTGTATGTGTGTGTGTGTGTGTGTGTGTGTGTGTTTGGAAACACGATGGAATCTTCTCATTATAATAGGTATTATTCAGACTCATATGGGTTCTCTTTTGTAAGACTTTTGTAGTTTCAGTTTTTTTTTTGTATTATTCAATTGGAAAACATGCAAAAGACTTTTAGAGGGTGGGATAGTGTTATACTAGAGTTTATAGAAAGAGATTGAGAGAGAGAGAGAGAGAGGCAAAATGTTAGTTTGAATTAAGACGAAGAATAAAAGAGAGCAAAATGTTAGCGAAAATCAAAAAAAAATAACAAAAATGGTTTAAAGCGTTTCTTTGAAACATTACAAAAGCGCTTAACTCTAGAGATATATATATATAAATATATATATACTTTTTTATTATAATATTTGTATATTAGGGTTCCATACACATAAACCAATTATAAACCAAATACGAGCTCGAGCAAGCCATGTGTTGAAAACGAGTACTTCGAGTACTATCTTGGTTATGGAGTGTACGTATGTGTGTGTGTGAGTGTCTGTATATATCGATAAGAAAATTGGAGTCGAGCAGAGAGCACATTGATAAACGCCTAACATATACCAGTGAATTGAAAAGAAGCATATGGAAATTCTTAAAATGTTTTTAGTAAGCTTTTCAAATGAGCAGCAAAATAAAACGAGGTTCAAATTAAGTTGGGGAACTTAAGAGCTAAATGGTCAATCGGTATAATATCTATATAAACTAACAGTAAATAGCAAAGTAAATTGAAATATTTCAATAGAATATAGGACAATGCACAGCAAAAACTTTTGGTATTAGTAGTGTGTCTGTGTGTGTGTGTGTGTGTGTGTGTTGGTGTGAGAGAGAGAGAGAAAGAGAAAATGTACGCAGAATATAAGTGTTAAGTTTGCCATTGAGCACTTTCCAAGGTTACGAGTTAAGTAAAAGAAGCAACAAGTTTTTACGGTTTTTACAATAAAACGTTCATATAATTTTCAATATATTTTTGTTAATTTTTGCATTATTGTTTTGTATTAGTTTTTATGTTTTCTTTTTAACGCATAGTTAATAAGACTAATTTTTGTGTATTTTTTTTTTTTTTGTATAGCACATAGAACATATTCATTAAAGTGTTTGCTTGTATTGGTTGCTTTGTGTATAAGTTGTGTATAAGTTATATATATATATATATATATAGGTATAAAGATTTTTATTTTATTTTATTATAAAACAATTTTGTTGTTTTTTTTTTTCACTTTCAAATGTTACCAACTTAGATTTCTCTTTGCTCAACATACATGCATTAGTTAACTTAGATACACTGAAGTTTGCTGCTTGTTAATTTCTGTTATTTTTTTTTTTATCAAATATACATGAGATATTGGTAGCGCTAGGTTTTGTTAAGTAAATAATAAAAGAGAAATGCAAAATGAAAGTGGCATCGCTTTGGGATGCGCTTTATAGCCATACATTAGTTTGAAATTGTTTCTTTGATGTAAGAGATTTTTCCCAGTGTGCTTGTTTGTTGCGCAGTATGTGTCTTTCTAGTATGTGGTGTTCTTTACAAAAAACTGTGCTGGTT